TGGACAAATATTCCAACTTTGAATATGCTTTTGCTTAGACACATTAAAAAAAAAAAAAAACGGCTGTTACCTCATTTTAATACTGGGGAGGGCATTTCTGTTTCACACTCAGCGGTTGTTTTGTTATAAGGTAAGAGTTGTGTAAATGGTTGTGCTAAAATGGTAAGATAAGCTCTGTGAACAGGACTAATCTGCTATTTCTACACATGCAATTGCTGCGCGCTTGCATGCCATAGTCTGATGCTGTTACTGCACTGGTGACTCATAGCTGGGAACAGCACAGCAGTTCAGCTACTGTAACAGAAGAAACAGTAGCTGTTAGATTCCGGCAAGCATGCCGGGGTGACTCGGAATACTCTGAGCAAGGCTACTCCACAGCATCTAACACTCCACAGTGTCTAACACAGTGCTTCATAAAGAAACGATCGGTGTGTTTACTTTGAAAGTAACTGGGTCACACTAAATGTACACCATATATGTATACAGTTACTACTCATGACTGCTTACATTAGTATAAATAGTCTAGACCTAGAATGACAGTAAACAAAAAATGTATTTACAACAGTAACTATAAAGGATAGCTCAACAATAAAGCACTATTTTTCCCAACTCAGAAAATAACCTTCTTTTTCTTTTATCACAGTTTTAAAGATATAAACTTACTTTTAAACTGCTCCATAGAACATAAAAGTTATACATATCTACGAGATATATGCACCATGTGCTCTTTACACGTGTGTATTTAAATTGGGTAATTCCTAGTGAAAGATGAAAGTTTAATGAGAAACTACGTAATACTGTTGTTTTGCTGATCATTCTCCAGAGTTTGGAACAGGGACACCTGGGCATCTAATGAGGTCAGAGACTCTGAATAGACCGTATATTTCATCCCGAAGACCTTACATAAACACAGATGAGGGGAGCAAACCACAAACTTGTCTATCCAGTTTTGTAGAAAGTATGCACTAAAAACATTCAACTTAATTTTTCTGTTCCCTTGAGAATTCTGGGCACACTTCTGTCTGGGTTATGAGTGACGCGGGTCAGCACCAAATGGAGACAAAATGTAGTTGTGGCTCTTGTCTTAGCACCCAGTCTCTTACTGGGTGATTCTTCAGGACCTGCTTAATCTGAGTTAACTCTCTTGTTCCCCTTACCTGAAGCAGAAAGAGAAGATATTTCCTGAGATCCTGAAGAAGGGAAAGGACACTCACTCTCCGGTCTTAAACAAACAAGGTGTCCCTTATTCCCCCCAGCTATGAATAGGGATCATTTACCACCATTCACGCCGGGACTCTGGAAGGCATGAGTGTTGTCTTCATTCTCTGAAGGACAGTACAGCAAGGTTCTCCTTTATAGTCGGACAGTGCCCTGACTACTCTCTGAAATTTCCTCCAGAACAGGGCAGTCACCGGCTGACTTTCACTGCAAAAACCTACAGTGACATTTACCTCTGCTCACAGTCTCGGCATAAAACACCGGAGCTCTTCGGGAAAGGCACTTTCGGAGATGCTAGATGGCTAGAAACCAGAAGGTGCACATGGTTTCTAGACTGTCCTACTTCAATGGGAAATCATTTCATAAACACGTGCACACACGCACACACACACACACACACTCACTTCTGCTTAACTGAACCTTTCCAGCTATCATCTCTAAGGTCAGGTAAAATTGTACAGACTTTGCTAGAGGGGCCAATTTCGCTTCCTCATATGCCGTTATTAAAATTTAGAAGCTTGTTAAAAAGCTCATAACTTTGCAAGCGTCTGAAAACAAAGTGCTGGTGGTGATCACAGACCTAAAGCGCCTGATGAACATTCGTATTGCTGACTTCTAGTTCCTCACAAAGAGCTGGCATGGAAGACATGTGCCATTAAACACTGCTAAGGAATCAAAGGACCGTGGCTCCTCAGATTTGGGAGCTGCCTTTGTCTTCAGCGGGGCCTCAACAACATGTTTTTTCCTTAGGACGTATCATTCTGACCATCTTAGACAGGACACCTCGAAATTCCCCGTCCACACTGATTCCTTCCTGGAGGCGCTGAGTGGCAGAAACAATGTCCTCTGCCAGATGAAACAGCAAAATGTTTCCCAAAGTTCATCAATTCCAGTATTCTATCACAGCTTGTTCAGGTTTCAAAGTGAGTCAGCAGATCCTACATCTTGTTTCTCATTTGACCGAGACAGAAATGCTGAAAGTGAATTATCCACTTACTAAGACTGGCATTAGGGGACTTAGCCCACTGTGATTAGGACTTGCCAGGAAATCAAAGCATTGGCTGTGATGACAATATTTAAAAACAGCAGGAATAAATATTCATTGTGTCCACTCTAACTTATTAAATATGCTTCAATCCAAGCAAATGTGGAAGTCTTCCTTAAGGAGAAAACTCTTGGCAGGGATAATGTTCTAAGAAGAAAATATATCCTGTGTTTTGCTTAAGGGGAAATGTTCTGTTTGTGGTAAATATAAGACAGTGATGAAATATGACATTCTTGTGCAGCACAGTCTATGAGTTCCCACATATAAAATGACATTCCTTGCTTAGTCTACCAGGCATAGCCCACCAACAAATTAAGCTCACATTGCATTTTATTTTGTTGGGGGAAAAAAAGAAATTCTAACAGAATCTTTTTGTTAAAATGAGTTCCTTAAATTTCACTAAAAACACCAAGGTAATTTTTTTGTTGTTGTTGTTTTATTTATTTTTTTTTAAGCTCTGGAAAAAGCCAGTTGCTCAAGAGACAGGACAGGCATATCTCTCTCAGTTCAAGGCCAGCCTGATCTACATAGTGAGATACAGGACAACCAGAGTTGCACAGTAAGACCCCCATTTTAAATAAATAAATAAATAAATAAATAAAATTCTGATTTAGAAGCCTGGGAAAGGTAAATAAGCACTGCTAAATTCTAAGCCATGTTCTAAAAATGCATTTTTCCTCTTCTGTGCAGCCCTGAGTTCTATTTGCCCACCAAGAGACTCTTCTCATTCAGCCCATAAATATTTATGAAGAACCCAATCTGGGTTCTGGGGCTGGAGGGTTGGCTTGGCCATTAAAGGCTAAGCTCACAACCAAAAACTTAAGAACCCATTCTGTATGAGTCACTGAGCCAGGCAGTGGTATCACCTGAGACCTAAGCTCTGCCCCCAGGAACTCACGGGCTAACACATAAAGCAAGCAACAAGTATGCACAAAGATTTCAAATGGCACTAGCAAACCTCCAGAACAAGGCCAGGCATTGAACAGACGCTGCCAGACTTCTTAACCAATATAAGCTCAAGATAAAATTTTAGCTCAAAATCCCCAAAGACATGGGGTGTCTCACGACCCCGGGTGTTTAAGCTGAAATGTCTGAGGCCAGTTCACAGTTCTGTGACTCTACTATCATTCATGTGTACGGAGTTGGTGAATCTTTTTCAACTCAGTCCTCTACATCTTAATATTTGTACCCTGTCCACTATTTACTGTTTGTGGCATCTAAATGAATTATTCTACTTAATTAATCTGCTATTCAAAGACTGTTTCACAACAGGTCCAGCTCATGCTATAGTCCATAAACCTGACCTAATTTTCTAAAGACTTCATTACAGACATACCTTGATTTTTACATATTTTCTTTCTTCTCTCTTTTATTTTCTTCCTCCCCCACCCCAGACAGGGTTTCACAATGTAGCAATGTAGCTCTGGCTGTCCTGGAACTTACTATGTAGACCAGGCTGGCCACAAAACTCATAGAGATTCCCCCTGCCTCTGACTCTGAATGTCAGTCGGGGTTAAGGGTGTGTGCCACCACACCTGATAATTTTCAGTCCAAAATGTATCATGGCTACTCAAAACTAAATATCTCCTATGAATGAATTTTTTTTACATAATTTAAAAAACAATTTTCCACATACGGCCCTGCAGGGTACTGCTGGCCCTGTTTTACAGCCCTGCCCCCCCCCAATACATACACACAGCTAGTTAGTATAGAGCTAGATACAGGCCTGCTGACTATTGACAAGTTATTTTCTCACAAACCTCAACTAGCACAGAGTCCTCACTTCCAGGTCACCCGCGGCAGAATCACTCCATATGCAACATAACAACGTTACAATAATACGACAATACAGTTAAGCTTCAATAACCATAATCCAGGATGCAATGAACCCTCCCATTAGCGAGGAAAACAGGAAGTGAAGTAACTTCAGGTAAATAAGGAGCTTCTAGGAGAGGGGACATGCGCAGTCCTCTGCTAAGGTGAATAAGCTGTGTCACAACGCAGCCTGCAGGCCTGGGTATGTGCAGCGCTCCCCCCAAAGAGAGAACACTGCCTTACTATAAGTGAGCATCTGGAAACTACAGCAACGCATGCACTGGGTCAGGCAGAGCTGGTGTCTTGTTCGAACTGCAGCTGGTCCTACTGCTGTCTCCCCCGCTGGCGTGTCCAGTCAGCTACTCTAGAGAGCTATTCTAGCACAAATAATCAGTACAAACTCTCCGTTGTATCTTCATCAACACCGCTATCATGTCCAAAATACTGTCGTGGACAGCTTTCTAAGACGCTAGGAATGTCACCTGGAGCCTCAGCTGGAACGCACGTGGTTCTGCGGTTTGCCCAAGCGCCTGACCTCAGTGCGCACCCAGGAAGTACTTCCACCACAAGACTATAAACTAAACTGATAGCCATTCCCTGACTAAGTTCTCTAAGGCCCTGCTGCACTTTTAGGGGCTGCCCCTCCCACCTCCTGTAAAGCAAACTCCACACACCCACTGGTGAGCGCAAGCGCACACACACACACACACACACACACACACACACACACACACACATCTGTTATACCGCTCAATGGGCTTGACTGTGGAATTGCTTTAAACAAAGCGTGTCAGTTTGGGCTTAGGGTCTGCAGGCTTCCCATTCGGTGGTTCTACTGGCTTCTCCACACGCACATGATTAACACCAGTACCCAGGAAAGCAAGTTACTTCTGACCTTGAGAGCGTGCACTAAATAAATTACCTCAGAGCGAAAGTGATGAGATCTCAGAACAGCATCTGGGGAGAAAAGAGGGGAAAATGAGACCTTCATTAACTCCTTGTTCTCAACCTGCAGAGTTGGGGGTCACTTACCTGGATGCAGGAAAGCACATTCTAGTTGTCTCTCTCTAATTCTGTGGGTGTATTGGGGCGGGGTGGAAGGACTATTGGACCATCTGTCTCTAAGGTGACTTCTCTGCAAGAAGTTCCAGCAAAGTTGGGAGGGGAGCCCCCAAATTATCACGCCTTACTTTTTCTTAATCCCCGAGCTCTAGCAAAAGCTATGTAAAGGGAAGAATGCCTCAGCCCAGGATTCCACAACAATTACCTTCTGGGCTAAAAATTTAGCAAACTGACCCTAAGAATTGGGGTCTGATTCTTCCTCCCAGGACCTCGGAATCCCCGTGGTTACCCAAACCTGGTGATGTGAGGACGGACTTGAGGGCAAAAGGCCAGGGCGCGTTAAATTAATAAGCGCTCGTAGCTTGAGGAGCGGGCAATGAAGGGGACACGGGGTCGGCAGAGGAGGCTTCAGCCTCGCTTCTGCCCAGCGGAGCCCGGCGGCGGCGGGTCTCACCTCTGCTTCTGGAACGACCCGAAAAGACCGATTTCATCGGATGCCTCCCTTTCTGGAGCTTGCGGTGCCAGCAGCAGAAGAAAACGATGGTGGCGATGGTCCCCAGCAGAAGCAACAAGAGGAAGAGAGCACACTGGATGCTGTAGGGTCTCAGCAACACGAGGAAAGCCGCGGCGATCATGGTGCGGGCGAGGCGGGGGGCCGTGCGGCGCGGGGCAGAGGCGGCGGAGCGCGCGGGGCTCGGGGCGCGGGGCGCGGGGGGCGGCGGCGGCCACGGGCGGGCGGGCGAGCGCAGCTCAGCGCGTCAAGCCCGGCGCTCGCGGTCCCGCGCGCGGCCCAGTGGCTGCACACCCCGCGCCGGCCCCGGAACGACTGCTGGAGAGCAGCGGGCAGTTCTCGCCATGACTCAGCACGCGGCGCGCCGGCGGCAGCCGCGCCCCTCCCTCCGCGGCCGCTCCAGCCCGTGCGCGGCCCTCGGGCTCGGCCCCGCCCGGGACGCAGCCGGCCGTGAGCATCGTCGGGTGGCCGCCTCGGGCCTCGGCATCCCGAAGCCCGGAGCACGTGGGGCGGGGCGGGGCGCGGCGGGCGGGGGGCTCGCTGGCTGACGTCACGGGCTGCGGCGGCGCGGCCGCGCGCACATGGCTGCAGCCGGGACCGAGCGGCGCGCCCTCCCGCAGGCCGGCTCGGTGCGCGCGCGCGGCCCGCCAGGCCACGCGCCAGGCGGCGGTGCGCGGGACCCTCCCCTCCCCGCACCCCCCCCCCCGAGCTTCGCCTCTGCAGCCTCGGTGGACCGACTGCTGGAGGCCGACGTCAGGGGGCGCCAAGGAGCCGGGGGGGACCCGGGCTCCCGCCTGGAGGCTGGGGCTCCGAGGATGCGGCAGGGTGAGCTATTTGGTTTGGGGGGCGGGGGTAGTCCGTGCGCACTGAGGGCGCCAGCACCTGGAAGGGCCGCCGCCAAGCAGGTCCCATCTAGCAGCAAGCAGCGCTTGGGAGAGGCACGCCGGGGTCTGCAGGCATGCACTGTCCCACCCCCAGACTTGGTGCTGATTCGCAGCCCAGACAGGAGCCCTTGGGTCCTCTTTATACCTGATACCTGGGGCTGGCGGTAAAAAAAAAAAAAAAAAAAAAAAAAAAAAACCTGATTCATTTAGCGTCTTTGTAGGGAGAGGGGATTTTTTTAGATGTGAGCATCCAACCGATGAAGGAAGTTGGTGATTGATTGATTGATTGGCCTGTAAATACTGCAGCAGAAAAATTTAGGTACTATTAGCCAATGGTGATCTGCCTGTCACACTTAGGCATACGATCATCCTTCTCCCCTTTGGCATCCCCCACCCCCGCCGCCGCCCCTTACATTCCGTTATAATCCGCAAAAACTATATCGTAGTCGTCTGCTGGATTCTTGACAGGGGTCGCTGGTCCAGTGCCAAGAAAGCAAGGCGTGAGCGCTGCGGTGTGCCGGGCGAGGAACCCGACGCTGCAGCAGCCTGCAGCGTGTTGCGGCCTTGGCGGGCCAGTGCAGTACTCTGCCCTGCTGCCCCTAAGGCATGCTGGCTTTCCTTCTGTGGGGCTGAGTGATTTGTTTCGTTTCATGTACTCGCATAAGAATAAAAAACCCAAAACCATGCAATTACGTGATAGACGACAAAGGATACATTACTACATTTGTGTCGTGCTTTTGGTAAGAACTTGGAGACTAAATAACTCGTAAAATTCTGAAAGTCGATTGAAGAGAATGCTTGTATTGTTTTCTGACCCTATAAAACCAGTTTGCAGTTCTGCTTAGCCATTAGCTGCTGTTAAGGTCGGTGATAACTTACCAAGCGTGAGCATGAAAAGAAATGCAGAAAGATGTTGCTTAGTCCTAACGTCAGAGTCGTAAAGTATGGAAAGCAGTGGGTATGTGGTCTTATTTGCATGCTGGTTTCCTGAAACAAATACAGATTGATATGTAACTCACTCACTTGTTTGGGGTTGAGAATAGGAGGGACCTTGCTTTCAGGCACCAAGTAAGGTGGACTCTGGAATGTCAGGCTGCAAACCAGGCTTCACAGGTCCCTGGCAGTCAGAAAAGCTGCCTAGAAGCTCTGCACCATGAGCTGAAGGATTCCTGATACTGTAACCCACTGCAGTAAGAAACTGTAGTTCCATGCCCTATGCAGGGGTTATAGAAAAGAAGCCTGAGGGCTTGTAAAGTGTGGCACTCCGGGAAAGGAAGAATTCACCAGCTGAGCAGGGGCATGATAGAGTCATTTTAAACTGTATTGGAGAAACACTCTGCAAACAGTGGGTAGAAATAACCAATGCTGCAATTTACGAAGGTCATCCTTTTGTTTCTCACTGGCCAAAGCTCGTAGTAAGCTGAAATGGCATGAATATCTTTGCATGATGCATGGAAACATGTCTGAGACTGTAAACACAGCAAAGTAATCAATTTGCCCCCAAATTCTGCATTTTTAACCACAAAAAGCAAGTAAATAGCAATATGGTTCTCTGGGCTATACTTTGGTGCAATAACTATCACCCTGAGCCTTGCTGCAGCCATTTACAAGTTTCAATTGCACATAAGAGCATCGTTTACCTTCCTCCTCAGGCGCATGTTTCACTAGCATGCAGTAGGGTTTATACATACTTCTTTTTCTATGTATCTACTTCTTTGTCTGGGTACTCTTAAGGATACATACAATAAACAAGCCAAGTCCTTGAAAGAATTTAGTCTATGAGTCCATTAATTTCTGATTTGTTGCTAATTTATCATCTCCTTTCCAAATAGTGGCATGTTAGTAATTTTTTTTTTGATTGTTTTTGGTTTTTGGTTTTTTTGTTTAGTTTGTTTTTTTTTTTTTTCCTCTGTGTTTGTGTGGTACCCAGTACATCCTGGAGTTCAATATATATTAAATTAGCCAATTTGTCCTTTGGGGAAATTAATTTAGTAGTATTTATGGCTTCTCTTCCTGCTGTGTTCTCATTTAAAAGAGAATAATTGATGTCATATAAAAGTCATAAATTTAAGATTAAAGGTAAGGGTGGAAAGAGAGTGCTCGTGACACAAATCTGTCATACCAAGAAATGAAAAAAATCACAATGGAAATGTTGTAATTTATCGCTTTTATGACAGAGAATTACCACTGTAATCCCAGAGGGCAGGGAGGTAAGGAGAAAATAGTTGGCAGATGTGATCCACTGCATAGCCCTTCTTGTCTTTGGAATCTCCACCACATTAAAAATAAACACAATGATCCAAAAAGAAAGTCAGGTATTAACTTTATTTAGAGTAAAGTCAGATTAAAAACCATTGCTTAGACCCAAAACCAAATGGAGCACATTTTCCCTGTTCTCCAAATCAGTGTTCCCACCCCCATCACAGCTAAGAAAAGATCTCACTAGCAGTAGAGCAGGCAAAAGCAACCTATATAACTTCCTGCATAGGAACCAGAGTCTGAGACCGTGAGGCTTTCCTGTCTATAATGTACACACTAAGTGGACAGGAGACAGGGCGTGTATGAGAAGGGGGCTTTATTAACTTTTACTAGCTAGCAGGCTGTGGTGGTTACTCTTTTTGTTTTGTTTTTATTTTTAGAGACAGGGTCTCTCTGTGTAGCCCTGTGTGTCCTGGAACTAACTCTGTCTACCAGACTGGCCTCGAACTCACAGAGATCTGCCTGCCTCTGCCTCTCAAAGGCATGCCTCACCACACCTGGCTTGTGATGATTAATCTTAATTGACAAATTATCAGTTTCATCAAACAGAGAGGTGCCTAAGAGATTAACAAAGCACACCCCAAGATTTGTTTGTGGTAACATTTTCAGAGGGGATTGAGTGAGCAGAGCAGAGAGACTCACCATGTAATCCATGTGGGGAGGATCATCCCATAGACTAGAAAGCCAGGTAGCAGAAAAGGGGAATAAAAAAAAAAACACAGCATGGGCATACTTAATATTCTGTCTCTTTCTTCCTCTCCCCCCCCCCCGCCCTCTGTGTGTGTGTGTGTGTGTGTGTGTGTGTGTGTGTGTGTGTGTGTGTGTGCATGCCTTTCAGCTGCCATAATGTCAGCTGTTTACTTTATGTCCCATTATGGACTGAAACCTTTGAAAACACAAGCCCCCAAGGCAAATCTTTTCTCCTTTAATTTGCTCAAGTGTGTCACAGCAATGGAAATCCAACTAATAACCAGTCCTTCCTCAGTTTAAGAGTAAGTTAGGGATCCTAGAGAAATTAATCAGTCTGTAAAGTGATTATCTTGCAATCGTGAGGACTCATGTCAAAAACCAAAAACAAATAAAAAAACAACAAGCCAGCATGTTTGTAATCCCAGCGTTGAGGAGGTGGGTCCTGGGTCCTAGCCAGACAGCCTAACCTACATTGGAGTCACAGAAAGAGTGACCCTTTCTCAAAGAAAAAAAAGAAAGAAAGAAAGAATTGCCACTGTGGTGTGACGCCTCAGGTTGTCCTTGGGGGTCCCCACTCAAAGGCACACATTTTTTTCTAACCCTACCAGTAAGTAAGTGGCTTTAATAAAGCAGAGACATCTTATATATTATTGCCCTAGAGTTTATAGGTGTGGTACAATTTCCTAATTAAAAGGTCAGGAAGAAATAGCAGGAGGAAACAAAGTTTCCAGCCCAAGCTGTGTAGAGAGAAAATAAGGGAAGGTGACTCAGATTCTGAGCCACCATGGAAACAATGAATGTTGAAGGAAGAACTAGGGTAACCAAGTGTAACAAGCCAGCAAGACCATGCAAATGTGGGTAGAGAAGTCCCGGATGTGGGAGAGCCATCATCAAACAGATCATAGAAATGCAAGAAGTGACTAAAGAAGAGAGGTCCGAGAAAGGGGAGTTAGGCTTGTTTGTGGTTGTCTACAGCACAAGGCAGGACTGCCCAGTCAGGAGGGTCCCGGCCCAGTGGCTTCCTGGGGGAGACATTCAAAGAAGGTAAAGAGAGAAAGCCCTGAGGATTGGGGAGGGGAAACCTCAGGAGATACTCTGGGGGACTGAGTGGGCATGATAGGGGAGGCTAAACCACACAGAAATGGGTTACAGAGGGAATAAGGTAAAAGGGGATCCCCAGAGACACCACCCACAATCTTTGGAGAAATTTGACTGAAGGAAACAAAGATAAAGGCAATGGAAGTCTAAGTAAAGTCCAGTGGGCCTACTTTTACCTAGATCAGTGGTCCTCAACCTGTGAGGTGAAATGA